GGGGTTGGACTGGATGATCTTTCAAGGTTCTTCCAACTCAATTCTGTGATTCTGTTCTTTGAGCAGCTTAGGCCAATGTGGGACCTTCGCATCTGGAAAGTAACTTTGCATGAGGCAGGTTTTTCTCTCCTGAAAATTGTCCATTATACAGAATAACACAACAAGGCTGGAAATACAATTTCAAAGAAGTCTTATGAATCAGGACATAGGAGGAAGCTATTGCAGGAGAAAATTGGTGGTATCAGTTACCCAAGGCCAAACCTTTGTCTCCCCTGTTGACAGAACAGCGTTTTTATGAACCTCAGTTGGATTTTGCAGTGTGGTGTTTCGTCTGGCACCCGTTGAATTAGGCTACAGTTGACAGTTGTGCACAAACACAGCAGTTTTTTAATAAGTCTGTTGTATCAAGCATGAGATTTTTTTTCTGTCTTTGTGGAAAACTGAATGAAGAACATTCAGAAGTATTTTGAAAGCAAACACTTATGTTTCCCAATGAATTTCGAGCCCTTAAATAAACCCAAGCTGTGGTATGCCATTGGTAATGTTTAAAGGCAGTTCAGTTCTTCAGACTTTTTCCTTGACATCTCCACACGCATCTGACTGCAGAGCCAAAGCCTCAAGCTCATTTCTGTGGTAAGAGCATATGGTGCAAGCCATGGACTATCAAGTAGCAAGGAGTTGTTGCAATGTCTGCATGGGGTTATGGAAGAGGAATCGAGACTTCCTTTCAGAATCAGTTCTGGCAGTTTTACCTGCTCATTTTAAGACTGAAAAAATGTTTGCAACATGTATTTAAATATTCAATTTTCCATCTGTGTTAAAGGAGCATCCTTTAAATGTATTTCTGCCTCAAGGCTTTTTTACCTGTTCTTAGTAATACCAGTTATTATTGTTGCAAAAATAATCGGAGCCAATGAAAATACTTCTTCTTCTGTTTCTTCGTATCACTCTGTGTTGAGTAGCTGTTTGTTCCCACTTAACAAGTCTTAAGTGCATGAGATGTCAGCTGATTCCTGCACGGGATATCACTTCTGTAAATGTATTTAGTGTCTGTCACTTAGTGCTGGGAGAGTGACAGGTGCTTATTGCCACGAGCAGCTCTGTTTTCTTCAGTAGAACTACTCACAGGATTAAAGTTGCTCACTAGTGTAAGCGTTTGGCAGGCTTTGGATTTTTCTGTTATTACTTCAAGGAAGAAAAATAAGGGAGCTTCTTTCTTTCAATGGAACTGCTATTTTAAGAAATTGATGGAAGTGAAGGCACTGTGTGGCAACTGGCATTTTTCTAGGTTTTTTAAGATGTTTGATAATTCTCTGATGTGACATTGACAGTCTTCCTGCCGAATTCTTGGCTGAAAAGAATTTTTTTACAGTCACAGCTGGAAGACTGAAGTAAGGTGGATACTTAAGAGCAGTTTCCCAGCTCTAAGTCAGGTGGCCTCTGCCCTTGTATCTAACAGAAATTCTTTCCTTGGAGCAGAACCAGACACACCGGGACACAGAAGATGTTTTGGGTCTCTCCATATGTAATACTTCCATAGCCTTTCCTCTTCTGTAGTAAACTTCTCCAGCCTTTCTCTTGGCCTCAGTAATGTCTTTTGGGTCTTTATCGGAAGCTAAGCGGGTTCTTCTCTCAGGGCCACAAGGTTTCTTGAACTGCTTCCTCAGATCTCTGTAGTTAAGAAGCCGCTACACGGTGCCATGTGGTGGGAGATGGTGGGAACGCTGCCATGAGCAGCTGTGTTAAACCACAGTGCAGCGCTGCCAAGGCCACTGCCTTGTTAATGTGTTTTTGTCTGCCAGCATCTCCCTCAGGTTTCATTACTTCCTTGCAGGCTGGTTCTGTTGTCTTACAGTGCTGCTGTTAATAAGCCCCGGGTCTGCAGGTTTTTCAGTTACTGTCCTTCGTGAATCTGTCTGCCTTTGTTGCTATTCCCAGTCACCTCCAGGTCAGCATTCAAGCCAGCTCTCCCTTTCTCTTTGTCACCTCTGTTTGGTAGGGACAGTCTTCTGATTTCTCCTGCTTTGCCTGTACAGTCTGCCCCAAAACTACCACCCTCTTTGAGCATGAAGGTTTGATGGGAATGTTCTGGTGAAGAAGTTGAGTTTAGCAGATGGATGGATACAAGTCCTGTAGCTAAACACAACATGTGATGTTAGAAATGCTCTTCTGGAATGAGGCATCTGGTTGTCTTTTGAGTCACCAGTCATCTTGTATATGTATGTATATTCCCATAGCAAGTATGGGAAATTCTACCAAGTTCTGTGTAATTTGGATTGCTCTGTCAATGGGTACGAGTCAAATGTTGCCTGTATAGGTGCAAATGTTCCTTTTTTTTTCTTTCATGCTGTCATTTACTTCAAATTGAACATTTCTTAATCCTTGAGTGTATTGTTTCAAATGCATTTTTCCTGTAGACTTCTAGGGACAGGGACAGGTAATAGCAAACAAGAATACAAT